TTTTTTAGACTATGAAGGAAACATCTTATGGTTTTATACTTGTACTAAAAAAGTATCACCACTATACGTTTTTGAAGATAAACGATGTTATAAAAGAATCCCTATCTTTTATAAGAATAAAGTACATTTCGTTGACACACTTTCACGAAGAACCTATTTCTGGGATACCGCAGTCCCATGTGGATCAGAAAACAGCCACAATGTAGTACAACTAAACCCTGATGAAAATAAATATTATCTTCTCACTCCATATCCCACATTAATGCAATCACTCAAAAAATTTTCACCAGAAAGCATTCGCGCTATTGCTCGAAACCCAAATATAGACTTACAATCAATAGGAATCTATTCAAAATCAGATATTCAACATCACATTAGAACACAACAATTCCAAGAATTATTAACACAAATGGACACTATACAAAGACAATCAATAGACCAAAATTTACGCAAACTTGCGGAAACCGCAGGATTTGCCGATATCTACACGCAAGACTATAGCGGATATTTTAAAGACATTAAAGATTATATATATCTAAACGGTGAAAAATACCGTCCCCAAGATATATCACCAATTAACATTTTTAGCTTTGTTACACTCAAAAATGAGATCCTCGATTTTCTAGGATGGCCCTACTACATCTTAGAAAAATTGACTATTTTATACGCAATGTTTAACTTTATTGGATTTCTTTTCTCACTTTTAAAAGGAATCTACAACACATGTGCTATACACACACAAGTAAACAGACAAGCAAGCGTAGCACGCATACTCTTTGCAGGATTTTTTGGAATCTTTTCTACATCTATAAACAAAATTCTTTTAGACGCACAAATAAAAGAATATAACACAAAAATAGCAACACGACAAAATACATACGACGAAGAACATAACAATGTAGACATAACGCCAACGGCACCACAATTACCACCCCTACCAAATAACCATCCACTATCCCTAGTCCCACGAAATTTTCGAAATTTAGCCATCACACATAATCCAAATTTTCGACTCACCACATCACAAAGTCCCATCCAACATATAATGACACACCAGTCACAAGATCAAAATACTTATGAACAAATTATTGAACAACCCCATACCACCGCTTTTCAGTCTCAAAATAATCATTTTTTTAGCCCACGATGAGCCGCCAACTTGGATCACTACACCGATCAAATTCCCACCCAACCAATCTTACCTCTCCAATCCCAATAATACCACTTTTTGCTTTTCCGCCACCCGATTTTCCATCTAGTAATGTAACATCAGGCATGAATTCCGACACTAATTCACACATCTCAGTTTTATATTCCATCTCACAACTCAATAACCCGAATATTGAAACCCCCGATGAATTTGCCGACTCAGAACCATCCCCATCAAATCATTTTCATAATTCTTCTAATTTTTCTCAACCCCCTTTTCAACCCATATTATCCAATAACCCTGACCCAATCACTTCCACACCCTCTTATGCTTCCCAAGTTACCCCAACCTACTCCTCACTTCATTCTGACCAATCATCTCATTCTCCAGACACCCCCCGAATCTCCCCAGAGCTAGATAATTTTATTACCCTTCAACAACAACCCTACCACCTCCATACCCCAACAATAAACCAAATCTCCTCCACAATCAATTCATCCAACCCCCCTACCCCTACACCCTCTTCAAATTATACTGAATCATTAGCACCATCATCCACATCAACTGAATCTTCACACAATACTAATAGAGCTTACCGCACTTTTAAAAGAAAGTTCCCCAACCATCCTTTCCCAGCAAAACCAGGAACAGCCCGTGAATACATCAACCACCCCAAGCATACTAACACAAAAGAATTTTTAGCCATCACCTTACCCTCATTCCCACAATACACCTTAAACACCCCCTACGACACTAACGAAACACGCAACTTTGTAGATGAATACGTTTTAATGCCCACTCTCTCTTGGACTTCATATTATCATTTTACTAACCCTCTTTGCTTACCTTTATCTAACACTCACATCGATATAGAGCGAAATACGGACATGCTATATCGACTCACTACACCACTAACCGCTAGACAATTTACTTACGTTGGATATAAAAAATCACTAAAAACACACACTGCACCTAGAGCTAACGAATATACACTCGAATACTATGATCACAACATCATCAGAGCTAACCAAGATCAATTCTTAGACGACGATCGCTTCGCTAATCCACAAATTACCGAGAAATTTTTCATCAAGACACCATATATATTTACACTAAACATCTTCGACCGAAAGTTTGATCACATTATTTCAGAAGCACTAACAGACACACAAGGATACGAAAGTTTTAAAGAACGCTTCCAAATATTTTCACTAACCTTTCATTTCCTTGCACCACACGAAAGAGATTTACACTGCTCACACGATATTATGTTGCGCACTAAACAAACACACACATATAGTTATTATCGCTTCATCCAAAATCACTTTGACCTACACACACCCTCTAGACAACCACACCATCGCTTTCAATTCATTAATTCCAAATACACTTCACCATTTTTCCTAAATTTCACATATTGCATTAAAGATACTAACCTTCATGGTATTCTTCGCAATTATGATCCCATAACCCAAATGTACATCTTCTGTCCCATCACCAAGACCTTCAACGCCGAAGAATCCCGACCCTTCCTTATCCCGCACGAGTTTGTACAACCTATAGAAATCCCAATTTTAGAATTCATCCACAACACTAAATTCAATCACAAATTATATAATCTAATCCAAAACACACCTTATGAGTTTGCAGTTGGCACTGAAGAACTAACCACTATTAAGGCACTTCAATTGCTTTGGCCACTGCTTCAGACTAAAAATATCATCCGCATCTTAGCTAAACTACTAACAACTTCAGAACTAATTCACGACATCTTCCCCCACGGTTTTTTCCCCGACGACTAACAGGTAAGTATGAATTAAATGAATATTACTAACTAATTAAAATATTAAAAAACTCACCATACTTTATCCATGTTTTCCTTAGATTTTTAGCCTTCATCCGACGATCACCTACAAAAACCACAGAAAACAAATAAAGATCGCAGATTTCATCAAACAGACTTCAACAATTCTATTAATCTCTTACACTTATAAATTTATAAATTTAATACCAATGCAGTAAATTCATTTCTAAAATTTTCCCCACAAGCAGTAAATCTAATTATGATGAAAATTTGTAACTTAAAATTCCCCCATAACTAGCAGTAAATTTCCAAATTCTATGCAGTAAATTAATAAAATGCAAATGCAGTACTAACCTTTTGATATTCTCATTTATTCGCACAGAAATTCTATCCACACTCGCACAGCTCGCCCACGAAGAATTGTTTAAAATAATGAATTTCAGTTTCAAGTTTTCACACTCAACAACTCTAACATATAATAACATGTTTCAAACTTTCCTTTAACCCGGTTGGAAAGGAATCATATACTAAACAAAACTAACCAACGCAGCTTACTAAATACCACAAATCATAGAATAACAGCATGACTAAGAAAAGGAAACCAACGGTACCCAAACCGGATTAACCCAGTTTAAAACTGGATAATTTATTCTTTTGAAGACTATTATAAAGTCTAAGAAAGAAATAATAAAACACAAAAAAGTCGAAAGACAAACCCATACCACGAACAATTTGCTTTTTGGAAAAAGGACATAACCAACAAGACATAAGAAAAACCACAACAAACCCAACATAAAACGTTGTCACATAACAGGACCCCTCACAAAAACCGCATGAAATCATACTCCCACTCCTGGCCTAACCCACCAGGAAGGACGTCCTGAGCATGCTCTATAGCCGGCCTAACCCACCGCGCTACATCCACGCTTTGTGACCACACCTCTATTTTTAATAAGAGCTACTCAAGTGTGAGTAACTCTTCAAAAATAACCGAACTAAAACAAAAAGCTTTTGTGAAAACAACTAACTAAAATCATAATTAAAAAATATTAAACTAATAAACGTTTTATAAAATGTAAATTACATTATGCAATACACAGATCAGAATACAACACCAAGGACGAACATCTAAAGACAAAACGACCCCACTACACTCGAGAGAGAATGACCAACCACAATCGATATGCCACTCACAATCACAACTCAAAGGATTTAGAGTACGACTTGACTTCGCAGAAAAGGACTTCATTGAACTAGACCAATGACCACCTCGATGTTCAAGTATACGTACAGATCCGAGTAACCAGGCATCCCCTCCACGCACAATCTCCACGCCATTCCCAAATTAGATCAGACACAAAAGAAGTTCTCCACGCAGAACAGAAAAACCTGACATAGCAAACCATTCTGAAATCAGATTTGAGTTTGTTGCAAAGACTTAGTCGTTGTCACTAGAAGACACAACGTCTTATGTTTCTAACTCCAGCTTCCTGGAACTTCTTTAACAAAGAGGAAACAGAAGAAATATGATGTTCGCCAAACACCAACGTCCATCATCCATCCTTCGAATTGCAGAAGAACTATTCTAAAAAACTCTGTAAAACCCGGATGGGTGGAACCTGATCTAGACTACATTTTATGATTGGATAATTTAGATATTTTACCAATGTAAAGTATTTAATATTAACCAATCATGATCCATCTAACTAACAACCCACTTATTTGTAAGTGCTGAAGTTACTTGTAATTTCAGCACCAGAGAGATTTGAATTTAACTTAGAAATTAGTTGGACTCTCCCGAGCACTTCAGCAGCCGCAATAAACCAGAATACCCTAGATCTATTGAGCCTAGCAGAGACTAGTTAAACAACCTGAGACTAGATAGTATAAGAGTAAGATTAGGATCGGTATTAGACTAAGAAGTTGCACGAATCTATCCGGCCGAAAATAAGATAGCGTGACGAGCAGACGGTGTACCCTATCCGAAATTACTCTATGAGTTAACCAACTCGGTCATAACTCAGAAGCGACCATGAAATACTTTACCTGCATTTACTATGGCAAGATGAACTTCTGGCGACCGAAGAGCAGCCTCCTGTTGCAGCAAACTCTCTGCGTCCCTAACTGTGAATCCCCCCACCTTCACATCATTCACTTGCAGCACAATATCCCCCTCATCAATCTCTCCTAACACACTTCCAGGGTCGACAATTGCGTGCACGTGAACAAATTTCGCGTCATTTGAACCCCCGTGTAAGATAATAGGCAAAACACTTGGTTGCTTTGGGTCTGAGTTTAGCTGGAATGGCTCAACGCATATGCTAATTTGTCTGATAAGTTCGCTCCAGTGAAGCTCTTGCTTTAGATCCCCACGGGACCCCATCCATACCTGAAAATACGGCGATAAGGTATCAAGTCGGTACGAGCATAAGAAATGGCAGTATTTATATAAAAAGCAGTAAATATTATGTAAGCTTGGCTTCACAGCTTCAAATAAAGTTTGCTGTTTTCTGTAGCTACAGCCATTTAATACGACTTTTGCGAGTTTCACAAGGCATGCAGTGACATATTAGATGTTTACTGCTTTGATTCAAATTTATTCCGTTTTCAAAGTATGAGCAACATGCTATTTATAATTTTCCTGCGTTGTTTTTCCTGTACAGGTATTCAATCTTTCCTGTAGGCAATAAACCAAATGATATGCAAGATACAAAATAAAGAAACTGTTTCGTTGGTAATCAAAAAAGTTAATGGATTGCGAAGTTATAATGCGTATTAAGTTTATGCATTGGAAATTTTTGACGCGTGAGAAGTCTAAGCATTGCGCAGTTTGACATCTACAGTCTCCTAGAACTACCGTCCATCAGAACTGGATAAAATCTTCGAAGTGCAATGATTAACTATAACTAAAGATTATTTATAATCTGACCAGGCTTTTGTGAATTTTTTTTCGACCAATATTGTCTAGTTTGTATTCCTCGGTCCGTTCTGAAAAATTGAGAATAAATGACGAACACTTCCTGTAAGTCTTCAAAAACATTAAACTCGAATGAGCGTAGTTGAATTTAAGAATTTTAAGTATTTTTAGGAGAATCGTAAAGTTAAATCCATTTCTGCACATAATTTTACAAAATATACATGGATTTTTTAAACTATTTAACAGCTGAGGCATTTAAGCAAAAAAGTACGACTAATCTAATACGAAGGACTAAAATTACACATAAATGGGAATTAGCACCACGAATAATGTAATAAGACTTTTGCACGAAGGCAAACTTTTTTGCAAGAAAACTTGACTCGCCGACTGCTTCACTTTCGGCCCTTAAAAATGGAGGCTTCGATTCACCGACAGTACTTCATTACCTTTCTGTAGTATTCCTGTCATCAGATTACGAATTAAATTCTAGCATAGTAGTAGTAGTTTGATTTTAGCCTGTTCAAATAATTCGCTGAAAACAAAATTGATTAGTCTAAGAAAGTCCATAAAATCGATTCGAAATGGCTCTGCTCTGATCAACAGATAAATCGTTAGCTTGCTTTGAAATTGAAGAGATGTCCAAAATTTGATGCAAATTCTGAATAAAATTGTCGGTATGTTTTTAGTTGCACTAATTGTTGTGACGTAGCGGAGGGTTAAGGTCAGGGTCAATTGAGTTCATGGTTTTCATTTGAGGTTAGAATTTAATCATATTGACATATTGTCCCGTGTAGATGTTGGGCATGCTTCCGAAGCAAGTGTTGACCATGTGTACTGTGTTCATCTTTCTCATTCTGTGTTCGTACTCGATGAGTTGTTTCCAGAATCCGTTGTTTGGTCTCACAATTGGTCTGGCTGTCTTCACCATCTGGTGTGCGGATAGCAGACTGAGTCCCTCGTATCTCATCAAGTAGGCTATGCATAAAGTGGCACTTCTGCTCACTCCCGCTACACAATGCACTAATGTCTTGCCACCGTTAAGTTTGACCTGGAGAAAAATAAATTCAAGTAGGAAATACATAGTCATAACGACGATTTCATTCAAAACTCATCACAAAAATAATCAAAACAGTGTTATCTTAATTGAAGAGTAAAAAATAAAACCATTTTAAAGCAAATTGCACATACATTGAGGCAAAGCGGAGCAGCACAATGAAACGAACGACGCTAAGTCGAAAAACTTAAAACAAGGTCGAAAAAGAGTGCCATAAATTTCGTATGTTTTTCCGGAAATGCATAAATTCGTTTTGAGGAAAGCAGGCGACTAAAGCCGGTCCTGATTTAGCATCGAAACAAAATTTACGCAGCGGTAAGTAAGCCGACAATATTTGAGCAGAAGCCAGTTGGGCGCGAAACAATGGAGTTATTAAATAATTTTGAGCAATCAAACATTTTGAGCCTCGAAATTCTAAATCCCCCAAGCGCGCACACATAGATACACGCACGCACACACACACACAAGCAGATGAAAAAAAAATCACAATCAAATGACGCAATAGTAGACTGTAAATTATAAGTCAAAAAGCACAAAAAAAAAACAGAAAAAAAACTGAATCGAGTAAATCGTAGTAAGTACACGCACACACTATAAGAAACAAATTTCGAATAAAACTATTTATAGTGGCAACATACTCAAAATTCATCTGTTGCGGACAAAAAAGTTCTGTTAAACAAGTTGGTAACCTGAAAAGATATATGTTCCGATTGGATAACGCTTGCTAATCTCAAGCGTATAAAATAACAAAAAGCCATAAGATGAACGTTTGATTCCTTTCTACTGAAAGCCTCTATTCATTGCTTGTCGCAAAAAATCTGGAAAGGAACTTGTACAATTTTTAGAGAATTCCCATAAGGCTCCACTAATTGTTTCCTCACAACTGAGTGATTAATGACCAAAAAAAAACGTTTTAAAACTAACTGAGGTAGAAATCCCACATGACGCGAAAAAGACCGAAAATTCTTTAAAAAACGATAAAATTTCGAGAGAGATGATACTGTGCAACAAATGACTAGCTTTCGAGATAAACTTCGGCTAATTAGGAAACATATCAAACCATTATATTTTATCAAAGCTTATAACAAAAAAAATCAAATACTTCCGACATTAGAATATTTTCAAAATTCTTCTAAACACAAAAAGCGATAGTCGTATGCAGCTTGAAACATGGAGCAATGTGATGTCACCTTGTTTCCTTTAAAACAGAACACATGTGCTTAATTTCACCTTGATATATTTATTAATGGCAAAGACGGTATCAAATTTGAATTGCGTTTCACTTAAACTTTGGCCTAATACTTCGATACATTTAATGCGGTTGAAACATCCTTGAAGCGAAATAGTAGAAGACAAAAAAAAATTGCTATCATCTTTTGAGTCCAGTGGAGAATTACTCTCTCATCTTTTGAGTCCGATGGAGCAAAGATAATTAGGAAGGTTTCACGAAAAAGCAAAATGAAACTGGAATTGGAAAACGCTTTTTGTCGATTCATTTCGAAGTAAGTTACCTTAAAATACATCACAGCTGACCTGGTTAATTTTCTGGGTGACGTACTCGAAGTGCGGCATCAACTGTGCAGTTGGGATGTCATCCACGGGCACTCTAAGGTACTCCACTCCTCTAGTTCCTGGATTGGGCAGATCGGGGGTTGCATTAACTACACATGTGATGCCATAATGTCTGATGAGGTTGGAGTCGTTCGCTCCCTCGTATGAACTGATGAATAAACTGGGAGCGATCTATAAAACATAATACACTACTAAGTTATAATAATCAATCATAATCAGAGACGGATTTGAGGGGGGGGGGGGGGTGCTTTGTTGTTGTTGTTTTTAGCCACGGTGGCCTTTGGTACTATTTTAAGACCTCAATTTTTGGCCCTTAATTTTTTGAAAGGCGCCAAATCTAATAATTTTAAGGGGAGATCGCGAGCCGAAAAAACGCAATTTTTTTGTCAAAATTATTCAAAAAGTGGCTGAAAAAGCGTTTTTTGTCCAGTTTTTCCAAAAATTTGCCAGTGGCACTAAAAACTAGGCCAAAACAGGGTCTATTTAGTTTTTTGGGAGAGCTCGGAAAAAAGCTCGAAAAAATTGTTGCTAATTTTTTAAAATTAAGAAAATTTCATAGTATAGTTTCAAAGTTATCGACTTGAATTAGTTTAAAACTTCCGCGTCGAAAACTTAAGCCAAAAATGCTTTCAATTTATGAACCCATTTCACTTAAGATCACAAATCAGGCACAAGATATCTTTCGAACATTCACGGAGAAACCGAACCTTGCACAATCCTGAAATTTTGTTCATTGGGTAATTTGGAACGTAGTTGGGATAATGAGCTTTGTTGCCTTGATAGTAGGCCATTCTGTCTGCAGTTTTAAGCCCCGCTGGATTCTGTTCCTTGATCTTTCGCAGAAGACGAGCGCTGGTTGGGCCAACTGAATGATGACAATAGGTGGCACTAATCCGAGGGAGGCAGGGAGTGAGGAGAGCACGAGTGGAGATTAGTTGCTGTTAGTTACTCAAATCAAACCTGGGTCTGAAAAAAAAACGATAATTACATTTGGAATGATTTATAAAAACGACAAGTAGCTACAAAAAGGACTTATCTTAGACTACGTACCACTACAGAAGTTGTGTAAAAAAAACAATTTAGCGGAATATAATTGACGCACAGTATCTAGTTGACAATTATTGAACATTTAAGAAGCCCATGTTGTAAGCTCATTTCGATTAATAGATTACATCAAGTATTCTTTATAACTTAGAGGTATCCCTTCCATAGAGTAATGTTTTGGTCCAATCAAGTGGCACTTGCAGCCTCAGCCTCCAGCTTCCAAGTCTGGTCAGGTATGCGGACCTCCAGACAAACCAGGACAACCAGCCTCCAAACTTAACTTTCGGAATATCGGTCAAACCTTGGTAGCCACCAATATACGCCAACATTCCCAGTGACGTAAAAGAGAAGTCCGTAACTTGACCTGAGTTGAACCCATTTGCCAAATGCCGGCCTTGTCGTTCTGCAACTTGGGCTGTACAGGGTAGCGAAAACTTGACAACATCAGCGCAATCGCCAATTGCAAAAACATCGGGATTAACTTGAGTAGCATTTTTTTGAAAGACATTCAACTTTCTATCAGTTACAATTTGTCCGGCTTTATTTTTCTCAGCCCAATCTATTGCCTTGGTGATGTCTCGGGGCGCAAGTCCGGCGCTCCAAACAACCAGACCACAATCTATTTTACTTCCTGATTGCAACTGAACAAACTCATCGGTGACATTAATAACTTGATCTTGTAATAAAGAATACTGTTCACGCTTTTTCAGTTTCTTTTCAGCGAATGCTTGAAGCTTCGAATCAAATGCTGGCAAAATTTTCTGTGCCTCGATTAAACTAACTCGTACTAAATTCTTTTCAGACTGGTACAATCTTGCAACGTCTTGCACGAGGAAGTCATACAGCTCTGCTCCAAATTCAACTCCTGTAGGACCACCACCAACTATCACAATGTGTAGAAGTCTTTTCTTTTCTTCGTGACTTAGGCCTGGTTCCAAAGCTAACTCGAAGTTAGAAACTATCCTGTTTCGAATAGCTTGTGCGTCTTGGATCTCCTTCAAAAAGAACGCGTTCTCCTGAACTCCCGGAGTGTTAAAAGTATTGGACAGACAACCTACTCCTAGTACCAATTTATCAAAGGGCAAAGAGTATTTGACATTCTGTTTCACACTGCTTCGGCATTCTACGAGCTTATTTTCAGAATCAATAGTTGTAGCATGTGCTAAGTGGAAATTTCCGGCATCCTTGAATCCGAGATTTCGAATCGGTTCAATGATGGAGCGGAACTCCAAGGTGCCCACTGTCGTCGAGGCCAAGAGCGGCGTGAACAAGAAGTAGTTCCTCGGACTGACTACTGTTACGTCAAACTTGGACCTGTCAATCGTCTTTACAAAAGAGTAACTAGCCCATCCCGTTCCAAGAACGACCACTCGCTTCTTAGAACTCAAAGCATTGCTGCTCAAAGCACGAAAGTGTGCAGGTGATACCATCGTATGTTAATATTTGCACAAGGTAAACTCAAAATCCAAGTTTTGGAGAACATCGGCTCTGAGAAAACTGCGACACGGATTAATTTCCAAACATTTCTACATAAAACAAAGATTGTCGGT